TTCTTACTTGCAGCCACGAGAAGTAGCTTTTGTCTGTTTCTTGCGTATAGTATGTCAGCATAAAGCATGACTGGCTTTGCCATCTCTTCTTTAGGAGCGCATATTGTGTTTCACCCCACCCCTTCTCATAACTACTGGTTATAAAGTTGACATATGAAGAGGTGGATTTCTATTGCTAGACCTTCTGGCTTCCTGTAGCATTGCACAGGTCTCTATCAGCAAGGGCAATAAAATCTCTGATAAGATTTCAAGGTGAAGTTTATGAAGTACTATTTGTGTGCAGAGCAGAAAGGATTAACTGCATCAAGAGTGATACATTTGTTATCCTTAAAATGTATGGTATAGTAAATTACAATTTTTAAATGAAGTTTGGCTCTTGATGTACTTGATGGTACAACCAACCAGACCTACAAGAGTGGCCTTTCAATACAATCGCACTGGCAGCAAGCGCAGTCCCTTCCTAGCACACCGACTGATAGCAGTGCCTGCCGGTGTGCTGCGGTGACTGCGTGAGGAGTGAAAGCTTTCTTCAAGAAGACCGTGCTCTTCACAACCATCCTGTTCTTCATGATATTACATACCCAGACAGGACAAACTCTGTTGTCAGCTTTGAACTCCCACTCAAAAGCTGCAGTTCACAGCTGCTGACTTTTCTGGGAAGGCATCATTTGGACTTTGGCATCAAGACTTTATTGAAGCTTAAGAGCACGGGGCGTTCAGCTTACTGGGTGATTTATTCAAACGAGATAATAGTGTGTAATTTTTGCTGATTCCCCATACATGCAAGTAGTACAAGGACACATCTTTCATACAGCCTTGACTCTCACTCTAAAGCTTTATAATTTACTTCAAGAGTTTACATGATAGTCAAGTCCATAACACAAGCTTTGACAGAAATCTAAAATACCATTTCTATTTACTTGACAATACAAGAAACATGGAAATCAGGAAAAAGAATTCTTACCTTTGTTTCCTGCTTGTTTTGACAAAACCTCTGCTTTGCTGTCCTGCTCTGTGGGTGGCTCAGGTCCTCCTGCAACCCATGGCTTGTCCTCAGCACTGTGAGGTTCTTCCAGCTCAGGTCTCCTTTTCTAGCCATGGTTGGTCCCTCAGTTAAATCACTCCCCCGGCTGCAAAATGCTCATTTCTCTTTCTCTCCCCTTTCTGCTCAGATTTTTCGTGTTTCTTCTGAGTTTTGTCTTTCTTTATGTGCTTCCCTTTCAAAGTCTAAATTTTTTGATCTGATATTTAGATTTGCTCCAAATTCTGGTGCCCTGGCAGAGATGGACCAACAACAGGCAGTCACAGGCATGAGCCAACGTCCTTCCCTTTCCACATGTGTGGTCAAAGGGAGAGTCAGTAAGATGAGGAGGACCTTAGGTCCCCCATCTGCGGGATGCAGTCTGGAGGCCCTGTTGGCAGGCAGGAATATACTTCGAAGCATTCTGTAGTGCAGCCAATTATCGTAATAATAGTTTCATTATTAACCAGAGTTCATAAACTCTCTGTAAACCTATTCCTCAGCTCGTGTTTCTTTGGTGCAAAAGCCAAGTGTTAGCTGGACAGATGGGGACTCTAAAGCTTTTAACAGGTTCTTTTCGTTTTTATTTGCTTATTGTCTGGTCTCTTCCGGTCACAGAATGATACCCTGCGAGTGCCATGCCCGCAAAGCACCGGGCGCACTAGTGAGTGCACTGTGAAGGAACCACCGTTTCAGGGTTAGCTTAACTAGAAATGGGGAGGTGGTCTGAAGGTCCTGCTCCCTGCACTTTAGGGAGCGAAATGTTCCCCCTTCATATTAATTACGTATCTGCCTCTTCGCTGCAAGGAGGCACAAAGTAAAATAAGCAACATCATGGTGCAGCATCGGTTGCTGCGTATGAGACAGAAAATGGGGCAGAACGCCTAATGCGTAGCCTGGAGCAGCGCATTCAGAACCACACTGAGCGTATGGTTGCATGGTGAAGGCCTCAGCCAAATCAACAGCTTGTCCGTTCTCCTCCCCGCTCCAGGCGGGGAGACACCACCTCCCTTTTGGCCCTGGTGAGTCACTGATCCACTCCACTGGTGGTGTGAAGCTCGGCTGTAAGCTTGTGGTAAGAAGGGATAGATGTTACTGGTGTTCAGGTTCTAGCTAATGTAACGCATCACTTCATGGCATAGTTTTCATAGTTTTCATCGTTTCATAGTTTTCAATATAATGTCATGAATTGCCAACAGTTTTCAAAATTTATTTATCACAAATGTGTGTGATTTGGTTAAATGCAAGAGAACTTTTACAAAGGTTTGGCTAAAGAACAGCTTTGACTCTGTCCCTGTAGTACTCCTCTTCAGGCAGAGCAGCTGCTGCCAACGCTAATGGCTTCAGCAGGCTTGCTGTTACGCGGCCCAGCAGAGAGGTCTGGGATGCTCTTCAGTTGTCGTGACTGCCCAGGACTGCCCCTCGCTGTAGGGGTGAGCAGCCAGAGCTCCTGAAGACAGGCCCCCGTCACACCCAGCACCTGGACTGGCCTCCCTGAGAAACCTGTGCTCTGACGTTAGCTCGCTGGGTGTTACTAGGTGAGACACTAGCAAGGAAAAACATGGATAGCTGTTAGAAGGATGCAGTGATACTAACTGATTTTGCCATAGATTGACTCAGTGCGATATTATTGTAGACCCCAGCCAGATGCTTAAATCAAGTCTTACAACAGTTAAGTCTTATGATATAATTGGGACTAGATGTGCAAGAAGATAAAGTAATTTTCGCAAGGCTACACACAAGGCAGCTCAGAAGAACAAGTCAGACTTACAGCTTTTTAACTAACCATATTGTCAAAGCTCCTTTTTTCCTATAATTTTATAGTGGGGTACCATGCCAACATTCTTAACTTACGCTTAATTCTTGCTCTTGTGCCAGTTTAAGCTTACAGTCAAGTTTCTAAAAGAACATCACTGTGTGATGCTCGCATCCATGGTACAATACCAGCTTTATTCACAAACAGGAAAGCCTTCACCACTAACTACAAGGGTACTTTATTTTTAGGTTATGTTTTCACCCACAATCTGCAGAGTGATCTGTATGTGTTTCTTTCCTAAATTTGTTTCGTCAAGTTTTATTTTAACACTTGTTTTGAATAGTGCCGCTTGGCAGTGGCAAGCGTCTGGCTGGAGTCACGTGCCACTGCCATCCAAGGGCTGGAGAATTTCGCTTTGGTACGTCCAGTGGCAGTAGTTGGTCTGCACTCCTAGCTAAGGCTGGAGTTGGATAATTTAAAAGATACTGGTAGAAAATATTTTTGAAAACAGCCTTTAGATAATCTTTCTGTGATCATTTACTGCTGTCGCCAGATTTCACAAGGCAGCCAAAACTGAAGTGCACGTTTAAGTTAATTTGCGCTTGCAGCACGTTGGACAATGAAGGGACCTAATTGCTGTTCTTATTCTTGTGGCTGCGTGTTATGACTAGAAACCTCACAGGAGACGCTTCTTAAATGAACTATTTCCACTGGGGAGCTAACAAAGAATGTAGCTCTGGGCTTGACCGCTAGTGATCAGAGTGTCGTGAAATTTTCCTGAGGTTTGAGGTTAATTTGGCCCTCTATTGCCTTTTTTAAATAACTCCTTGTGAATGCAGTGAAATGTCCTGAGCTGATCCTGAACCTTAAATAGCATTTGGAGCAACCAGAGAGTGTGTTGCCGTTAGGAAATTTGTGTGATTCTTTTGCAGGATGCAAAGGATGCTGAAGGGCTGAATGCCGTGCGGTCGCAGGCAGGGAGCAGGGCTGGAAGCAGCTCCTCTTCGTACCGGTACAGAAGCGAGGGGCGCAGGGCTGTTTCTTATCCTCACTGATGCAACCTCGCGCATACCCCATAACCAGCTCTTCCTGCAGAAAAAGCTGTGTTGGATTTTAGGCTTCTGTGAAGATACACAGCAAGGGGTGAGAGCAGGGAAGCTGACTGGTCCCCAGTGCTGTCCCTGCCGACTTGTTTGACTTCCGAGTGGAAATCTAGCAAGGAGCCCATCCCCCTCTGCAAGGGCAGTACCATTAGAAACATGGCAGAGGCAGCCTTGCACAGGAGGATTGGTAGGGTTCATGTTTTCCCCTTCCCTCCTTGGAGTTCACAGCGTCATCTGCAGCACTACTCACTGGAGGTCCTGCACACCGTGCCTTGCTTCCGCACGCTTGTTGTGAAAGAGGTGGCTTCAGAAGGAGCGCTTGCTGGTGGTTTGGTTTTGTCTTTTGAAGGGTTATCAGGTCAAAATGCCACGCACCTCAGGACAGAGACAAAAAAAATGCAAGCGTAGCTGGTGTAGCCAAGCTTGAACATGTTGCTGGTGTAGCCACCACGCACGGGTAAGCTCCCAGGTAGGAAAGGCTTTCGGTGAAAAAGTCTGCACAACTCCTCCATTATGGCCGATTCAACTACTTCTTTAAAAAAAAAGTCTCAAATAGCATTTAGAACTTGGGGCTTGGTTTGATGCAAGAGGAAGATGATCTTCGACTTCCTTTGGGTTACTCATTGTTCCACAGTTTTACAGTATATATGAACTGCTTAAAAGCTCTTCTCCAGATGAGGAATGTAGGTTGTTTCTAATTATGTGACATGTAATCAAGTGTGACATGCCTACTTACCCCTTAGGTGACAGCAAGCTTTATCTCCTTAAACAGAGTAAGGTGGGAAACATTCCGGTTAAATAGAGCCTAAAGCCTGCAAAAGTTCTTCATTTCAGCATCCCTCTGACTTATCTGTGCTAATTTCTGTTACAGGAGTAACTTAGTCAAAACAACTGGAGTGTGAAAAATGCCCACGCTTTGGGCTTCACATTTTATTTTTAACTCAAAGTGTTTCCTCGTTCTCTATCAATCATGATAACTGTTAATGCAAGAAAATGAGAGCTCCTTCTTAGCATCTCAGCAGAGAAGGGTTTAATACAGAGAGCTTTGTTCTCCATGTTAAATGCCTATTGACTTCTTTGGCCCGGAGAAATATTGATTTTTCTCTCACTCTCTTTACAGGCTCTGCTTTCTTTCCTGGTCGCTGTGCTGAGATCTTTGCCAAAGGTCAAAGCATTGGGAAACTTGGAGTCCTACACCCCGATGTTATCACCAAGTTTGAGCTCACCATGCCGTGCTCTGCGCTAGAGATCAATATTGAGCCCTTCGTGTGAAGACGGGACTTTTATCCTCCTACAGCCGTCCGCTGTCACATGCAGCACCCTCTGCTCTTTTGTCTTTCTCTGCGGGGGACAGCCACTTCTGCTTTTATGTTCCAATAAACTAGAAAAACAGAGCCTGGCTCCCTGGGTAAATATGTTCCTTACAGGGCAATTTAGCTAGCTTCTGCAGGGTAAGAGTGTGGCATCTTGGACCAGACAGTGCCCTCAGTATTTTTAAGGGAGGGGGCGGGGAGAAAGAAGTTGGGTAAAAGCCCAGTGCTTTACAAGAGAAATGTAATGGCAGAGCACATGATTAGTTTTCAAAATCAGAAATGTTCTACAGACACAGCTTCATACTGTAACTGATTATGGCTGCGTAACAGGAATCTCATTCTTTTCTTATTGCATGAAATAAGATAATTGATTAGAGCAAATGTTGAGTGAATGTGAGCAGAACTAAGGAGTTGAGCTTTTATTCTGTACGGTTGTCATGTGCTCATCAACGGCTGGGGGAAAAAAATAAACTTTTTTCATGAAAACCAGAGCTATTTTGTAAGCAAGGTATGTGTAATATCTGCTTCCCTACTCCAGACATAACTGTTGATCCTTTATCGTTCTAAATTCAGAAAGGGGAGGGGGTGGAATTAAATTTTTTCATGGTTGATGTAAGCCTAGTGGTTTTTTGAAGCTCCAAACCAAACTGGGGAAAGGCATTTGAGAGCATATGCCCGTGGTCTTTTGTGTGAAGAGCTGAAAAATATCAAAGCCTTTGTCCAACTGAGGCTGGCGTATTTATCCGCAGAGGTTAGCGTGGTCCGGCTGCACTCGCATAGCCCTGCTAGTGGCTTTCTGGACCCCAGCTGCACAACAAGGACCATGAGGCATTTGAAGAGTTTTACTTTCTTGCAGCTTTGCCCCTGACAGTCTATAAAAACCTCTCGCGGGTCAGGCTTGTCCTCTGCGTGGCTTTCTGGCAGCAGTTGTGCTGCAGCCTGGCTGTGTGGGAAAACGAGAAGCTCCCTCCGGCAATGCCCGGTACATCCCTCCTGGTGTAATGTCACCGAGCGGGTGGCCAGCTTAATATGCTGAAGCAGGCTCTTTACTGGTTTGCTAATGAAGCTGTCTGTCCCTCATTTGCAAGATTATAACCATTGCTAATGTTGCAGGCTAACAATAGTGAGTATTTTGCATTAGGCCAACACGCTGTGGCTTGTTTCCTTTGGGAGGGCCAGCTAGCCCCTGATCCCAGGAGGGGACCGTCCAAGGGTGGACGTCGGTGTGATGCTGGAGAAGGGTGTTAGAACCACTGGCTCAACAAGAAGAGAGATGCCATGGTGAGGGTAAGGTAAGCTCACAGTTTTGTGAGCTGCAAGTCTGCACAGCTCCCTGTCGCTGAGTCCACGATGGCTTTTCAGTGATAGCCCCATCAGTAGTCTTTTAACAGCTGGGAGGGCAACAGGCAAGGCTTTTTGGTGCAAGTGTTAATCCAGTATGAAAAATGCACTGTAGTTACCCATCTGGAAACTCTATGGTTCCCCTCAGATCGAAGAGTAGATTTTAATTATCTTTGCATGACAGACATGAAATGAGAACGTAGCTATTGCCATACGTTGCACGACTGACTCCAGTGCCCACGGAGAGTGAGAAAACTGCAGCTCACATTTTAAGGTCTCCCAGGGGATTAGCCAGCTTGTCGTTGGCAGGATATATCTCTCTGTGATGCCTGCACAACTGTAACCAAGCAAGCTCGCAGTGTGGGAAGCGATCTGTAACACAGATGGTAAGTATTAAAACCCCCCGTTTATTAGTGTGTCATGCACGGGGATTAGGACGGCAATAAGGCAGATTTGCATTTCAGCAGAGTACAGGATATTTGCGTGCACTAAATGTATTTCTCTACACAAGATTTTCTGACTCTTCGGGTGTCCCAGTTCTGTGAATTTACTGTCCTTGGAGTGTAAAGACCAGATTAGGCTGGGACGAAGGGATTGAGCTGCAGTGATATGTGTTGCAAGGCTTTTTAATGATCCCTTCTTCTCCTTTTTCATACAGTTTGCCCATGTGTTAGTAGCTAAAAGTACTCCACAAGCGGGACATTAGCCCTGTCCCAGAGAAGTAGCGTTACTTGCTAAAAGTAGAGGAAGAGAACAGAGAGAAAGGTTCAACAGCCTCTTCAGAGCCACCAGCCCCTCTCACAGCTAGACGCGGTGCCAGCAGCCTTGCAGAGGCTGCTGCAGCTCTGAAATTCAAGCTTTGCTGTAACGCTGTGCTCAGGATTAGCTGTGAATCCTGACGTGTCAGACACTTCATACAAGTCCAGCATATTTATTGCAGGGTGTTGTCTTTTGTAGCCCCAAAGCAATCAGCTGGTATTTACAGCTCGCTTGTGGCTCTATTCAGTAATCAGGGTACGTAACAGCTTAGCGCTAGAGAAAGCCGCTGCGCGCATTGTGGTTTTGCTTTTACCCGTTGGTGTAGCTGTGGTCTCTGGCAAAGGAAACATTGCCTGCTGATGGTGGTGACTTTTGAGCAATTTTTTAACATTTTTGAACTTTGAGTATTTCTTTAAGGAAGGGCTGGCAGCTGGATTTTTCACCAGTGGTCCCCAGTTATGAATTACTTCTGGCCTGCTGCTGCTGGGCTGTCTCGGGATCTGCACACGAGGGCAAAAGGCTGCAGAACTAATGGCAGCGAGGCCACCGCCCGTTCTCACGTGCAGGCCGGGTGACTGCTGGGTTTGTTTCAGCCGGGCACAAGCACTGCCTTCTGGGTTTTCCTTGCTGTGCTTTGGTCCTGCAAGGGGCTTTTCCAGGCAGCAGAACGCCCGAGGCAGCCCGGC